AGAGAGCGCAGTGTGGGATATTGTTACAGAAACAATACAAGCCAGGTGGGCTTTTCATTTTATCAGTGCTGCCGTTTACGTCTCCATGGCATTTGCTGCAATGCACCTGGTACTGTGATTACCACAGCAAGACTGGCTGAATAGGAAGAGGCAATGAACCAGCAAGCAGACTTCCATAGAAGTCTTCACCACTCTCCCGCTTTAATTCCCCCCCCCCCGTGGATACCTGTCATGTGACATGACTTTTTAATGCACTTCCTTCATCTCATCTCCATGACAGGCTGAGAACCAGACTGTTCTGCTTTTTCTCATTCTACAGGATTATGGTGTTGTCTCGGTACCCAATTGTGAAATCAGAACATCACCTTCTTCCGTCGCCAGAGGGCGAGATTGCACCAGCTATAACCATGACAGTTAACATCTCCAACAGAATGGTGGATTTTGTGGTGACACACTTCGGGAATCATGAGTGGGTGTCTTTGGATTACTTAGTAGTATACAAATGCCAGGAAGTACTATTAACATATTATTTTGATTTTTTTTAAAAAAATGAAATAGCCTTTCTTACTTCCTATTTCAAAACAAAACAAAACTGCTTAGATTATTGTCCCCCGTGTTGCTGGTTGTTTGTGGATTTGAGACACAGACAAGCCCATGGCTGCTTCTTGGGTGGTATCTCTCCATACATGTGTGGCCACGTTTAATCTTCATGTTGTATGAGCAAAGTGCTATATTGTCGTCCTTTTTACAGACAAAGACACTAGGTGGAGGGAGGTTAGGTGATGCACACCGTCAGGGTCACACACCTAGGAAGAATTCAGGACAAAGCCGGAGCTCAGAAATGCTAGGACCTACAGGTGAAACCAGACTACAGAAAAACAACAACAACAACACTCCCTGTCCTTACTGGGTCATTGGCACAAATAGCTGTACTGCTGGGATTTGAGGGCACTAAGTGATATTCCCTTCTTTCCTCACGTTTTCATAAACAACTGATAGATAGGTAACACTGGCCATCCAACATGTACACTCTGCTAGGTTCTGTCTTCGAGCCTTCTTCAAGATCTCTCCAGTCCTCTTGTTTCCCAGTGATCATCCCCGTCTCTCTACCCCGTAACACTCACCCTTCTTTCTAGGAAAACGCCTCTGTTTGTCAACTACACATTTACCTCAGGGATCTATCCCTTGCACCCATCTGTGTTTTTACAGTGCCAGGAATGATATTTCCCAGAGTCCTTTGCCTTCTGCTTTCTAGGTGGATTTAGTCAACAAGAGGCACAAGGTTGGTAAGCAACAAAAGGGAGAAGCCAGAGCATTTCTTACCCCTTCTTTGGGCTTTTTCTGGTATCTCTGGCAGCAGTCCAATCTCTTCTGTGGCTGCAGTTCCCAGCTCTCTGGCTTCCATCATGGAACCCCTCGAATTACTCCATCCCCCTCTAGTCAGAGCCAACTTCTTTACTGACTCTGTAGTGTGACTTCTGCCTGTCCGTCCTCCAGTGGTGGAGATGGTGCTAGACAAACCTCTGATTGTATCTCTGGTCCCTGATTGGATCCTCATTCCTCAAGTATCCAATTCCTGATATGAAATTCACTTTGTGTGAAGTTCCTCAGGTGCCTCTATTCTCCTGATAGGTCCTATCAAACATGATGTTTCTCTCTCTCTCTCTCTCTCTCTCTCTCTCTCTCTCTCTCTCTCGCTCTCTCGCTCTCTCGCTCTCTCGCTCTCTCTCGCTCTCTCTCGCTCTCGCTCTCGCTCTCTGTTTGTTTCTGGATCTGTAAGTCCCTTGACAGCTCAATGTACTTACCTATTTTTCTGTTTCATGCCTATAGTAAGTAGTATGTTAAAGGCAAGATACCCAGCCAATATGTGGGCAAGAGAGCAGAGGAGACACTCAGGAAACGTTCCCTTGAAGTAACAGTGGAGGTCCTATGAAGGTTACAGCTCTCCCTCTTATGAGCGCCCCTGCATCTTTTACTTTGACATTCATTCTTTAGCTGTGATCCCAGTGGCTGGGTCTCACATCAGGCCACACTTTCTTCTTGTACTTGCGGATTAAACATACAATGTTGACAGTAAACATACAACCTTTGTGTGTGTGAGGCAAGCGGCCTGCCACTGAGCCACATCTCCGTACATGATTTATTAAGACTGAAGAAAGGTTGGACAGATTCTCTGTTTGGAAGAGAGACGTAAAGATTTGTTTTATTTTGAGTTACGTGTATGTGTGTCCCCATGAGTGGAGATGTTACACGAGTGTAGGGGCCTAAGGGCCAGAAGAGTGTGACAGATGCCTTGACACTGATGTCACAGGTGGTTGTGAGCTGGCTGACAGGGATGCTTGACATGACCAAATTTCATTCCTCTTCAAGAGCAGCAAGTACTCTTAAGTGGTAAGCTACCTCTTCAATCCTAAGAAAGATTTTTGAATGAACTTGACTCACTGGTTTCTACAGAAAGGTTTTTCTTAATCAAGTGTGTGTCAAGCCCAGTTTGAAGTGTGGTTCTATGTCTTGTCCATTGTAAAACTTCAGACGTGTTCCCAACAGAAATTGCTCTGGTTTTGTACCCCTTTTGAAGAAATTTAGAGGGAATTTGGTTACCTGTTTTTAATTGTTTTATACATATAACGAAGAGACTCTTTTTTTTTTGCATTTTTTAAAGAGATGACCTTGACAGGAAGCTACAGGCTATTGCAGTTTCAAAACTGCTGAAAAATTGTTCGAATCAAGTGATATTTCTGGGCTATATCACTTCAGAGCCTGGTTCCAGAGATTACATACAACTCACTGAACATGGCAACGTCAAGGTAACACAAGTTTAATATGACTTCTGATCTACTAAGTTAAATGGTTCTTTATTCCTATACACTTAAAAAAAGTCCAACTAAAAAAGCTTGTATGTGTGTGTGTGTGTTTGTGCATGTGTGTCTGTGTGCACTTGCCTGCACACGAATGTGTGTACATGTGTATGTGTGTGTGTTTGTGTGTGTGCATGTGTGCACTTGCATGCACATGTGTGCATGTGTGTATGCATGTAGGTGTGTGCATGCACAAGAGCATGTGCATGCATGTGTGCGTGAGTGTGTGTGTGAGTGTGTGTGTATGTGTGTGAGTGTGTGTGTGTGAGTGTGCGTGTGTGTGGTTGGAGATCAGAATTTGACATCATGTGACCTCCATTGTTTCTCACGTTATTTCGAGACACGGTCTCTCACTGACCCTGGAACTCATGGAATAGCTCCTGGGATCTGCTTGCATCTGCCTTCCCGGGGCTAGACTCATAGATGTATATCAGCTGTGCCAGACTTTTATATGTGTGCTGGGGATCTGAACACAGGTGTTTGGGGCAAGCACCTTTCTAACTGAGTATCTCTCCCAGCACCCTGACAAATTTAATGTATTCTGTGCTTCCTGAGCACAAAAAAGCATGTCGCCCACTGCTTCAAAACAGCAGAATGAATATGTCAGCTGACTCACTAATCTGTGCTGTGGACAGGGCTCAGTGGGGACAACTCAGCTGTGCTCCACACAGGGCCAGTGAGCTGTTTCTTGGGTACTACAGGATTTCCTGTATGGAGGATTCACAAGTGATGCTTTTGGCTCAGGACCATCACTAGTACTCCTGGGCCAACCGGCTTCCTCCCTTATGGTGGCTAGGTTCTGGAGTGAGTAAACAAGGGGAGAGCCTGCACTGTCCTCTAGGACTTGACCTTCTAAGTGGCAGAGTGTCACCTCCGCTTTAATCAGAATTCTTGTCACATTCACCTGAAGGATCATCAACCTCACTTCTCGATTCGGGGAATGTCAAAGACATCTAGGAAGGGTACCACGGGCTGGTGAGAAGTTATTGTAACTGTGTACCATGGGGTCAGTGAGATGTTACTGTAACTGTGCTTAGAAAATGAAATCTGCCACACTGTGAAAGCTAGTTACAGGACTGTAAGTAAAAGCTGAAATGGAGTATCAGAAAGAGGGGCATCCATCGCACAGGACATTACCAAAGATGGAGGTCACACAGGGTCTTACCATTGATCCCGAGAGAGAGAGAAAGAGAAAGAGAGAGAGAGAGAGAGAGAGAGAGAGAGAGAGAGAGAGAGAGAGAGAGAAGAGAATGCACTAGTTCTCAGGAAAGAGCCAGGGAATCAGATCTAAGGCTTGGAGTCATGGACTTGTCAGTTCTCTGTGTGAGAAGCAGCCTCCCTCTTGGCTTCTCTTTTGACCCTCTGTTGGTTTCCTGTATAGTGGTTAAAAGCTGCTTTGCTTGGTAATGGTCTCTACGAGGAAGTTCATTGACTTATAGAGGAATTTTAATCATATATACTCGGATGAACAGATTTTTCTTCTTAATAAATGAGTAATTAAATTCTCTAGTCTTAAAATTTTACAACATCGTCAATTCTAATGCAGTAAAATAACAGTTAAGCAGATGTATAGCTGATTAGCCATAGTATCTATAGCTGAATGACTAAACTACTATCTCTTTCCCAAGGCAAGCTCAATACTTCTTCTTTTATTAATTTGCTTTTTATAGTTATTAAACATTTAAGCTTAATTTCTAAGGTTTATTTACACTTTCTTTTGTATACAAATGGAGTCTATAACATAAATAATAAATAAAATTAACATCCAGGTACACATCTTGTAGCAAATAAAAATCATAAATTGTGTGGCACATTTATAGTAATATAAAATGTATTTAAGTTAAATTTTAATAGTTAAAAGTTAGAGGTGGTAAAAAGTCAAATATAGACATATTGTTTATAGGCTACTTAAAAAGAAGGAAGTGGAGATTTCTTATTTCACCCATAAATCTCCATATTTATAGTTTTTTCCAGTACATTATAGAAAAAAAAATCCTTTCTCCTTCTCTGATGAAAAGTGAGTCTGGTTTCAAGCCTTCAACATCAAAAGACTCTTGATTGCTCCTGAATGCGTTTCTGTCCATGATCTGATTTAGTAAACACAGACCAAGCACCCACAAAACACCAGGCTTCAAGTTAAGTACCAGGCAGCTGGAGATCTATTGACGGGATTCCCTTTGCACGGAGAGGCAAGGGAGAGCAAAGGAAGAAGCCAGGCCATTTCTCATCCTTTCTCTGTGCTTTTTCCAAACAAGGCCCTAGGGTGCTGCTGGGGTGCAGAGCATGGTTAGGAGGGCTGGGGACTGGTGTCAAGACTCTCAGTTCTGCTGAGGCTGACAGATCTGGAGAGCTGCAGGAGGCGAGACCACAGGGCAAGGGCAGACTTATCCGTCATTCTGTGTTCCCAGCATCCAGTGCAGAGATAGAGAGGGACAAAGGAGCTACTCAAAAAGGATCTCTAGAGCGAATGAATCACTCATGCATGGAGGATCAGTAGGAGGGTGGCGAGGGAATTATCTGTGCTTTCGTTCACCTTTTTTCTTTCTTTTTTCTTCTCTCTTCTGTCTTTTGGAGCAATTCGCATTAGAGCGTTGTCTTCTATCTTTTAAGTGTTCTCCTCTCTGCTCTCGCATAGGATATTGACAGCTCGGATCAAGACAGATGGTGCGAATACATCATGTACCGGGGCCTGATCAGGTGAGCCCTGGCGTTAGAAACCAAATTCTGTGAATTCTAGAAGACAAAGGGGTCATGAAGGCAATTAATTTTTGTGAACGTTGATTTTGTTGGTTACACGATTTAACGGTTTTGACATTTAACAGTCTAAGAAGACAGAACTAGCTAAGCCAAGTTAGAGCTATATCATAAGGGCCTTATAAACCATTAAATACAACAGTGTATAACAGAGGCACAGTAAGAAAGGTACCAATGGGAGATGGCCCTTCCAGATACAGGGACAGAGGCCCTAACACAAGAGCATTCTGTTTGAAGGGGGTAAGGCTAGAGAAGCTACAGTATGTGCTGGGGTTGGAAGGTGGATAGGGTAGTAGGTGAACGCTATCACGCTGGGGAGGGGAGTGAATTTTGTAAGGCTCTATGGACCCTTCTTAAGGACTTGGAATATAAGCATATAGGAACCTCGTTGGCCCTTGGACACCTCACCTGGTTGGTGCATGTACTTACTGAAGGAAGCCCAGAAAACCATTTAGGGGCTGTAACAGTCATTCTGGTTACAACACTGGTTCAAAGACCCAGCCATTGCTCTCAGACAGCTGCCCGGGAGCCAGCCTCACGACTGCTTCATTTTTTCCAAAGAGCTATGGTAGAAGAACACGCTGCTTCATAAATCATTTCATATCTAAGATGGAGAACATTGTTTCTATTTCATTCTGCATTCAAGTATTTGAATTCACAGGATATCAGAATTCTAGAAAACAAGCTCTGGTGCAGACTGAAATAGGCATAACAGTTACGAGTTGAACAAAATGACTAGCCGTCAGGACACAGTGTATTTAAGATAAGTGGTGCTTCTCTGTGTGTATGTGGGAGCGTGTGCATGCAGGCATGCTTGCATGCACGCGCATGTGTTATAGCTTATCCATTGTTCTACCCTGGTTGCCCCAGCAAAATAATACAGAATGAGTGGGTGGTTTAAATAAAAGCCAGTTATATTCTCAAAGGTCTAGAAACAGGTTAAAATTTCAATCTTAGAGATTCAGGAGATAAACAGCCCAGATTTGCCAAAGACAGTGCTTTAGAGTGACCCAGAGCTACAGCTCATGAGCTTAGCCCAAAGCTGTAACCTGTGACAGCTCCGATCCCCTATCTGACAGGGCCATAGCTCTCATCCCTCTTTTTGTCATGGGAAGGTGGCTACCTCCACCCATCCCGACTCTTTCTGTTTCTCTCTTGCAGGTCCTCCCACTCTGGCTGAAGCCTCCTTTCTTTTACCTTTCCCCTAGTCTCTCCATTTCTACCTTCCCATGGCGCCCACTCTACCCAGCATCCACCACAGATCTTTCCTCACCCCCTCTGATGGATTCCCACTCTCTCCTCTCCCTCTTGGATAAGAGTCTGAGCCCTCACAGGTGTATTGGAGGAAGGGTTCTGCCACCCACTTCCTCTCTATCCCAAGTCCAATGCCTTTCTTCCTTCAGTCCTGCTTGAGTCCCCAAACCCCATGCACATGTCTACCTCCAAGCCTTTGCCTTTCTTCACCCGTCCTGTATGTTGGACTCCTTCCAGTCCTTCCCTATGGGACTTAACCTATCACCACCCGATCGATGTTTTACATACACACTTGTTTAATTTGTCCTCCAACTAGAAAAAATAGTCACTGGGAGCAAGGACTCCATCTAACCTCCTGGTTACCACACACAACCTAAAATGCTGCTATGGAAAGTTCCTTCATCAAATCCATAAGCGACCGAAAATGATGCAAATACCCGTTTTGGAAGAGGCAGGATGTAAATGAATGAAAACGAAGTTCTTGCCACTGAGGTCCATCCATTTTCCGGTCTGAGAACTTCACTGAGAACGCTTTAGATAGCATCTGTAAAGTGTTTTGACTTTTCCAGAGAGTTGAACACTGGAAGCCAAACAGGATGTGGACTTTTTTTTTTTTACAGACATATAAAATCTTTGATTTTAGACTAGGAAATGTGCCTAGAAATATGCACGAGGTATTTGGTAAAAAAAGAAAAAAATGTAAAATGTAAGCGTGCACACTTGTCAGTCTGAAGAAATCCTGTTATTAACTCAAAGGGTAATTATATGGGAAGCAGTTTGTGTAGACAGAACATTCATCCGAATACAAAAGTAAAGCAAGGTTGCTAAGTGGAGTTAATTAAATCTATGTCCTTATTCCTTATTCATTTACCATGTTATGAAGACAGTATTTCTGTTAACACTCAGGGTAATAAATCAAGGTAGGTCTAGTCATGATATACAGAGTCAAGTTAGAAATGGGAAATACGCTTAATACAGAAGGTGTTAGCCATTAGAGTTGGCTGTGTTTCGGTTGGGGCTTTGCTATATTCATTAGAGTATTTTTAGAATGAGACATTTTAGAAGCCACTTCTAATTCTTCTGCAGGTTGGGTTATGCAAGAATTTCTCACGCAGAGCTGAGTGATTCTGAGATTCAGATGGCCAAATTCAGGATCCCGGATGATTCTGCCAACTACAGAGACAACCAGAAAGTCGTCATAGACAGCCGAGGAGTTCCCAAGAACATTCATTTCAACCCCAGGTGAGTGGGTGCCTGAGTGAGTGCCTGTCTCCTGTAGACAGCAGATACAAGCTACCATATGTCCTCACAGAGCCCAGGCGTCCCCTCATATGTGCTCAAGATTGTGGTAGATTCTACAGGCTCATTTCAAGTGAAGGAAGCCATGGTAAAGATTATAACTCATGGATTGAAGTTATGATTTTTCGCTTTCTGTGATGAAATGTGTTGTAGCCTTAGCCCCAGGGAAAGGTCTCATTATTTTATTATTATCACTACCACCACACCATCATCCTTGTCACCGTCACCATGACTGCTGCCACCACTATCATCATCCTCCTCCTCGCCAACCCCACTGCCACTGTTAACATGACCACAACAGTGAATATTTTGAGTGCTCCCATATCCCAGCTCTGTCCTAGCTTCTTCATGTGTTGCCTCAGTTTAGCTCACTGGGTTGTTAACTAACTGCTGTTACCAACATTTTATTGAGGAGGAAGTTCAGGCTGAGGAATACTATTGCATTAGGCTTAAGTGAGTAGTCAGCGATAGAGCTGTTGAGGAGGAAGGAAGCCCATTAGCACCACAGGGTTGCAGCGATTTCTCGCTGACTGAACCTTCCATTCAGCCTGAGAGCATTTGAAAATGGCATGGCTAAGTCTTGTCCCAAATCAACTCATTGGGACTCCCCGTGATGATGCTTGGTTTGGGGACTTAAAAAATTCTTCCCAGGTTATTCGAATGGGCAATTCACACGGAGACTGAAGTGTGGGCAGTTCCCTCACATGGCAGGTGGCCTGCCGGGAAAGAGCTATTGAATCTCATTTCGCTTAGTTCTTAAAAGTGGTTATCCAAGACATCTGTTTGTAGCCAAGGGTATGATTTGAAGCATGTGCTTTTCTCTGCCACAGTGAATGGTGAGACAGGACTTCCGTGCCAACCCAGATGCTGACAGAGCCTTAGACATTATTCTGATCACTTGACATTTCTACGTTTCTAGCTCATAGCTGCAACAGGTTTCGCTTCGTCAGGGACAAAACTACACCTCATTTGCTTAGTTCCCTGTACTTCCTGGGGACAACTGTACCAGAGTGTACAGAGTGTAGGAGGATCCAGTATTGATGGTGTCACAGAAGACAGATGGCTCTCACCAGACCAATGACCGACTGCAATGAGCATTCGCAAGGGAAGATGTGTGGACATAGGGATATACTGTGGGACTCACTGTGACATATACTACAGCTTCCAGGGTCAGATCTTCTCTATGCTTTGGATTTTTTGTTTTTGTTGTTGTTGGTGGTGGGGTGTGTGTGTGTGTGTGTGTGTGTGTGTGTGTTAGGCACTCAGAGTGCCTTGCTTTGTTGCTGTGTTTCTCATCTGCTGGGCACGTACATGATGGTGGGGTCAGCCTCTGTGTTCTTGCCAGAGAAAAGAGGGGACTGCGTATTATTAGCCTGGTCACTGCAATGAACGTGTATCACTTTCTGAACACGTGCTGAGAGTGTCTAGTGCCAGGATGAGACCCACGATCAAAAGCAAGTCCGGGAGGAAAGGGTTTATTTGACTTATGCTTCCATATCACTGTTCATCATCAGAGGAAATCAAGACAGAGCAGGAACCGGGAGGCAGGAGCTGATGCAGAGGCCATGGAGGGATGCTGCTGACTGACTTGCTCTCCATGGCTTGTTAAGCTTGCTTCCTTCCTTTTCTTCTTTCTTTAACTTTTTATTGATTCTTCATGAGTTTCACATCGTGTACCCCAATCCCATCCATCTCCCTGTCCCTTCCTATCCTCTCTTTGCCTTTGCAGTCTCCCCATTAAAATAACACACACACACACACACACACACACACACACACACACCAACCAAAACAACAAATCCAAAGCATAGAGAAGCTCTGACCCTGGAAGCTGTAGTATATGTCACGGTGAGTTCCATAGTATTATCCCTGTGTCCACACATCTTCCCGTGAGAATGCTCATTGCAATCGGTCATTGGTCTGGTGAGACCTGCCTGTCTTCTGTGACATCATCAATACTGGATCCTCCTACCAGGCTTGCTCCTGGTTATCCTGTTCTTGCCCTGTGTCATGGAGAGCCTGCAGTGTTGGATTAGCAGGACTGGCCCTTTCACGCATCCCAACTGTTCAAAGACGATGGAGATTTTGGGGTGGGCCAACGCAGAGCCCTGGATGGGGCCTAGGTGGTAGCCGAGCTGGTTAGCGTGCTGGCTCTCCCTGCACTACCAGGGCGAGCTTTTCAGCTGTGCTCCAGCTAGGCCACCCAATGCCACCATCAGCAGGAGGCAGGGTCAGCTTTCCTGCCTTCTAGCTCACACACACACACCTCCATGGCCAGCTCCACTGTGCTGCCCAGTCAAGGCATGGGACCCACTCTCCCTGTGTGCTACAGCTTGTGAGGGGCTGGGCCAGCTCTTCCGGTCTCACACTCTTGGGGCTCACTCTCCCATTCTTTTCCATCAGGGCCAGGTCCACTGTGTTGCCCAGGGCCCATTCCCCTGTGTGCTGCAGGCAGAAAGGGGCAGGGCCAGCCCACCTGCTCTCAGGTGACAGAGGCAAGCCTGCTTTCTTATAGAACCCAGGACCAATCCGCAGTGACCCTAACTACAGTGGGCTGGGCCCGCCCACTTAAATCACTAATTAAGATTCCCTAAAGGCTTGCTTGATTGCAACCCGATCTTGTGGAGGCATTTTTCTCAATTGAAGCTCCCCTCTCTCAAAGGACTCTAGTTCAAATGTCCAAGTTAACATAAAACTGGGCAGCCTAGAGATCATCTTTTTTGTTGAATGAGATGACTTCTTAAATGGAAAAGAAGACTTTTTGGGCAGAAGAGATTTTCTTCTTTCTTTATTCTTCATATACCAAGAGTGTGGCAAGAGCCCCAAAAAATCTATTTTTAGTGTAACCACAACTGCAGATCGAGTCAAGACAGCTGTGACTGAGCTAGGTCTATTTTCTCGTTCTGTTACAAGAGTGATGAGGTGTTGGGGGAGGCCTGCTCAGGACACTTAAGACTACTCTCTTGGCAGTCTTAACTGTCCTCTGCATCATCATTAACTTCAGTCACAATACCTAAGAGCAGATTGCTCACCCTGTACAATTGACCCGCCACTTCTGCCAGTCAGCCTTAGGCAAACCCTGTTATTCAGCTCCTGCTTCTGCAAACTATAACTTTTAGAAAGCTCTACTTGAGAGAACACACTCTCTCGTGCTTGCAGGCTCTTCCCCTCTCCCAACTTCTTTCCCCTGAGGATCAAACAGGGTTTGACACAATCTAGACAAGCACTCAGCCACCGAGCCACATCTCAGGTCTTTGTTTTGTTTTTTAATTTCTCTTTGAAGTAGGGTCTCACGCTATGTAGCTCAGGATGAACTTGGCCTTGCTGTCTAATCCAGGCTGGTTTTGAACTGGCTCAAGTCTCCTTCTTCTGTTTCCCAGGTAGTGAGATGGCACTTAGCACCACACGTCTGATTAGTTCACTGGTCTTAGTGCCTCTAAGTTTATCCATGGTGCAGCAGAAGACAGCATTTACTTTGTTTTTAGGGCTGAATAATGTTCCAGCATGGACCTGGGTCAGCCTTAGGTGTGTCGTTCCTAATTCCTCAGGAGATATCCTTGATCTCTCTCTCTCTTTCTATCTCTCTCTCTCTATCTCTCCATATATATATATATATATATATATTTTTTTTTTTTTCTTGCTAGCCTAGAGTTCAGCAGTTAGGCTAAGCTGGCTGAACCAGTGCTCTTTTTCCATTTGCCTGTCTGTCTGTCTGTCTGTCTCTCCAGCACCTGGTTGGCAAGAGCATGCCACCACATTTGACTTTTAAAATGAGGGTCTTAGCATCAAACTCAGATCTCCATGGTACCCAGCAAGCGTTTTACTGCCTGAGCTATCTCCTCAGACCCCTTTTAAATCCAACTTTTAAGTTAGCATACGACGTAATGGGTTTCATTATGTCATTTAAAAGTATATATATCACTGTATTCTAATTCATTCTTTCCCCCACTGCCATCCTCCAACTCTCCTTCCTCTAGACAGATGTTCTGTCACATGTATTCATTTTTGTCTCTTCCCTACCTCCTCATCCTCCGTACTTCTCTTTCTCTCCCCTTTATAACTTTCATCACACACAGGTACACACACATGTACACACATACATGCACACACACACAGATGCACATGATATGTGCATTCGTAGGAACATGTGCACACACACAGATGAACACACACACGTACATAGACACACTCATATGGACACGCACATTTCAATCTGTGTTTCACAAATTAAACATGGGGTATCTGTTTTTTTTTTCCTTCATCTGGTTTACTTGATTTCCTGTTGCATCTACTTTCTGACGACATGATCTCAGCTTTTCTTTGTGACTGAATGAAGTTCCATTGTGTGTATATGCCACATTTTAATCCACTCACAGGTTGATAGACACCGAGGGAGGTTCCATTCCCTAGCTGTCATGAAGAGACAGGTAATATAGATGTATTGCAGGGATCTCTGTGGAATATCCATTTATAGTCTTTTGGGTATGAGCCCAGGAGAGCTATGGATGGGTCACATGGTAGTTCCAGTTTTAGCCTTCGAAAGTGTCCTTCGAAAGCTGATTTCCATGGTGGCTCTACACATTTGCATTCCCTCCAGCAGAGCAGAGGCATCCTTTCTCCACATCTTCACCAGCATTTACTGTCACTTATCTTCCTAGCAATAGTCATTCTGCTCCGGGGTAAGATGGAATCTCCAAGCAGTTTTAATTTATTTCCCATGGGATTAAGGGTATTGAATACTTTTTCAGATATTTTATTGACTTTCTGTGTTCCTCCTCTTGAGAACTGTCTATTCATTTAATTAGCTCAATTTACTGCTTGGATGATTTTTGAAATTTATGTTATGCAGTTTTTCCATGTATTCTAGACATTAATTACCTGATTGATGAGTAGTTGGCAAAGTTTTTTTTTTCCCAAAGTCTGGAGGTTTTCTCTGTACCCTG